AGCGGTAGTAGTTGTTGTTGAGGAGCTTGGTTCTGTTGTTGTGGTCGTTGTGGTAGAAGTAGTTGTTGTAGTTGGTTCCGTTATGGTTGTTGTAGTGCTTGTAGATGCAGTTGTTGTTGAAGGAGCAATTGGTGTCGTGGTTGTCGTCGTTGCTGGTTCAGTTGTAGTCGTCGTCGTTGAAGTTGTTGGACCTGCTGGGGTTGTCGTCGTCGTTGTTGATGCTCTTGTGGATGCTTCAGTTACTACTTGTCGAGCGGATCTAACCAATCCTTTCTGAAATTACCTTAACTTTATAATTTTCTTATTTTTTTAATTCTTTATTTCACTTACTTCGTTGAATGGCAAAAGCATACTCTGAGCTCTCGGCATACATCCCAGGACCAAAGTTAAAAGTAATATGGCTAAAATGTGTTTTGATGTGTTGAACATTTTTGAATGTTGTCTTATTTTTCGATATAAAGTTTAAAGCAAAATAACATTTTTGTCAAAAATCGCAAGACATTTATATTCTTATGGCTGTGGTTTTTTTCGCATGAAAATAACATAGGTTTCGAAGAAAGTTTTTAATTAATTAAATTAACACATTCAGTGGCAATTTTTCAACTATATTTTGGTTAAGAGATATGTCTAGACTAATTAATAGTTTTACGCATGTAAGTTTTTGTCTTGGGGTGGAACGCTATCCATCTGATGCCTTATGTTAAAGTTCTTTTGGGAATTGACGACGATAGTCGATATACTTATCTTTAAAACACAAATTCATGAATTTAACAAGAATTAATCAATCAAATATTTCTCGATGTCTTGATGAACTGAATAGTTTCTTCATTAGTTTTTTTCAGTTTTTAAATATCTACAGTAGTGAAATAATTGAGGAGTAGTGAAATAACGGACTGACTGAACGAGAATCAATACCCAGACAAAACGTCTGAAGCTAGAATCATGAAATTATGCACAAGGACCAGTCTTGGGGCGTAGGCGTAAGGCTCAATTTTTGAGAACTCGTACTAAAAGTGTACGAAAAGTACTAAAATGTACTAAAAATTATTGATTTGTATTCCAAAAACGGAATTAGCTAGAATTTTTAAATTTGGAACGAGGGTCATAAATGGAGAACAGAATAGACGCACAAAAGGGATTTGGAAATTCGAACTTTAAGGTTACGAAAAATTGTTAAAGGGTTTTTGGAAATTCGAACTTTAAGGTTACGAAAGTTGCAAAATGGTACTATGAGAAGCAAGGTTAGAAATAAGTTTGATATATGAAGGTGGTTTTGGAAATGTGTACAACAAGTGCACGAAAAGTACTAAATAGTACTATATTTGGTACAATTTGGTAATGGGTGAACATATTGTGATGGAAATCTGGATTTGGTATTAGTGTCGCGTTCATGTTTACCTTTAACATAAGGAGGTTGTTTTGGAAGTGTGTATCATAATTGTACGAAAAGTTGGGATAGCGATGCAATTCTTAAATTTCATATGTAGATAACAGTTGGTGTCTGAGGTTGAGATTTGGAGGTGGGTTTGGAAATGCGTAATATAGTTATACGGAAAGAACTTAATTGAACTAAATTTAGTACTGGGTGAAGGGATAGAGCTGGAATTTGATATTTAGATCTCTGATGGTATCTGCAGGTGGTTTGGAAAATTTGTTCTATATTATTACGAAAGGTACTAAATGGTGCTAATTTTGGATCACTGTTTGGTATTGGATGAATTAGAGAATTTGTCCGACCGCTCACTGTGGGTAGGTTCGGGAGAAAATATCTAGGTCTCCCAAGATGGATGGGAACTCCTTCGGTATCGGCACCACACTATAGAGATATTCAGGATCAGATGGTCAGGACTTCAATGGCAAGGAAATTATTATAGCTATCACTTTAGTTTGTATACCCTACAACACTATGTGTTGGGGGTATTATAAGTTTTGCTAGGAACACAATTGGAGCGAACGACGAATTTCGCCCTACGCGGCGACAAAATGAGCCGCGAAAATTCGTCGTATGGAACACAATACCGACGAAATTATAAAACAGCTGATGAAGTTGTTTACTTTTTGCTCATTTGTTGACTACAATGAATTATACAAGAACACATAATTCTTTACGTTCTCTATTATAATTTCACGTATGTCCATCTTCTCTATTATAAATTCACTGATATCCATCTTCACTCAGGCGCAAGTACACAAATAAATAAACAAATTAATTATTTTTTTTTTATACGAGTAACAGATAGTAGAGTGACCATAACAAATTTTAAAGTAAAAAGTAACTTTATTTACTAAAACACATAAAATTCGTACAAGTATGGCCACCTTGTACTATTTTGTTCGCCGGTCGCCGGCGTATGAAATAGAAATAAAGCTAATTGAGTTCGCGGCGACCGACGAAATTTTCGCCGGTGCCTTGATTGTGTGCACTTCCATATAAACATATGTGTTTTATTTTTGACGACGAACATACGCCGCGAAAAAATTCGTCGTTCGCTCTAATTGTGTTCCTAGCATTTGATTGGGCCAGAATTTATGTAATACCTCGAAATATTGGTTTCCCATATAGGAAAGTATATATGGGACTTCCTAGCTCGCCGAGCTGAGTCGATCTGGCTATGTATGTCCGTCCGTCCGTCTGTCCATGTTAATTTGTAATCAGTCTACAGGTCGCATTTATGGCCCGATCCTTACGAAATTTTGCACGAAGGTGGGGTTAGGGTCAGAATAGAAGCCTATTTATTGGAGATGATTGCCAAATGTTTAGGGGTTGAAATGGACCAAATACTGAAAAAATGTCGGATTTTGCAGTAGCTATACAGGTCGCAATTATTGATCAATCGACGCGGAATTTCGCATGTAGCTAGAGTTTAGGGCGGGGAAGAAGCCTACCAATTTGGGTGGTCATCGGATAATATTTAGCGTTGTGTTGAAAAAGTTTCAAAATTTTTCATTAAAACGCGAATATTTTAAATCCCGTCGAAATCACAAAACCATGACAAGGTTACTTCTGATCTTTACATTGATGTGAACATCCAACAAATCGGATATATAGCAAAATATGTGCGATATATAAGTCTATCAAAGAAGATATGCTTGAAAGATCTGTTATATGTCGAGAACGGCTGAACTGATTTCGAAAGTTCTCATTAATTCAGAATGGCCTCTTGGCAAGAAAGAAAAAACGCCTAAAAAAATCGCATAAAAATATCTCTCTAAAGATAAAAATATTGATTTTGTAACATTTCCTCATATTTTTTCAATTTTGTCATAATTTTGGCATATTTTCATTTTGAATTAAACATTTTGTAATATTTCTACAGCTAACAAAACTAAGTAGTTAGGATATCCGGATATCATGTACAGATCGCATTTATGGCCCGATCCTTACGAAATTTTGCATGGGGATAAGATGAGGGTCAGAATAGAAGCCTACTCTTTTTGGAGATGATCGCCATATATTTAGGGGTTGAAATGGACCAAAAACTGCAAAATTGCCAGCAGGTTGTGATTATCGCTCGATCCTCCCGCACATTTGAATGGGGGTTACCGGACATTGCAAAAGCCAAGCAGTTTTGGATGGCCATCCAAAATTATTCAATGTGTGAAATAGTTTGCCAACTTTTGTAGACAAAATAGACAGTGACTTTTTGGAGAATTCACAAATACAGGAAAGACGCACTTCTGACTATTTCGTTAACGCTGATTTCGTTGAAGAATATAGTCAAATGTCTGTATCTCATATAGATGCGTTTCAGTCAAAAACCAATAATAAATGTTAATCTTTTGCCACTTCTGAAAGATTATAGATCTTTGGGAAATATTGGTTACAGATCTAGGAAGACCATTTAAGTGCAACATCTACCAATAAATTGGAAATGAGCAAATTAGTTTAAGTTGCTATTATTCGAAAATTAGAGAACGAAACCTTATGGTTTTCTTTTATTATTTGTCACAATATCTTGCGGAATTCTTTCGAGTATCTCGCCTATATATACTGTATCGTTTATTTTAGTGTTGTAGGGTATTCAACGGTCGGCCCCGCTCGACTGTAGCCTTTGCTTACTTGTTATGATTAACTATAATTTATTGCTAATGTTTGAGCTACGATAAGGTAGAAAGAGACGAAGCTCCTCCTGTGGGACATCGATCCGAAGTTCCTGGCCCACAATGAGCTATAGTCGATGCTCCTGTGGACCAACGAAGCGAAGCTCCTGTGAAAATGAATACCAGCCACACAATTTAATAACAGCCAGTCTTAAAATTATTCCTAGCTAACGATTCTGTTAGTCGGAGTACATAAGGTGATTCTGAAAATCACTAACTACCCTTTGTCCCATCGTAAGCCAAACCCAACACTATATGTTACGCTATGCTATAATCGGCATATTTTGGAAAACTGAACTGTTCGCTGCCAACGAATATTGCCGACGTGTTGCTATTGCCGATGTTGTTGTTATTACTGATACAAAGGTTGTGGTTGTATTTTCTGAGTAATGTATCTGATAAAATCATCACATTACCGAGTTAAATTAAGATATACTATTTGATATCCATCGCAATGGTATATCGAGGACCTTTCAGAAGCATTTATCCACATTTATTTTGAAATAGTAGGAAGTTTCAATTTCAATATATTTACAGGTCCGGATGATAGACAGTTTTCTTTTTTCAAAGAATAGATATATGATTTTGTTTTCGAAGTCAAAGCGAATCGTTCAAAAAAATAATCAGAGTCTGATAAAAAAGCTCTACTCAATATTTTTGGTGTTTTAGCACTAAATCCAAAGGCCGTCTACACTTGGTTCAAAGTATAACGGCAAATCGTAACATTCACTCACTCATTCCTGTAATTCTCACCCTAAGGTTTTTTTTATATATATGTCAATGGAGATTTAACTCTCCAACTTTCCATTTTTAACCAATACAAAGTCTCCTCCGATTTTGTTACTTAAAAATTGTTTCACAACTCGATTATTTTGACAAGAAAAACGCAACAACACAGCTTTATTAGTTCACGCATTTTAATATTTTTCGTTGCAAAAAGTTACTTAAACTATTAATAAATAAATAAATAAATTACATTACATTAAATATTCAGTTCAGTTAGTTTTTAGGATCAAGTGCCAATTTATCGCTACGACTTTGTTTTAATGAACTTTGTTCTCCTTCAAACTTGCAGGTAAATTTAAATTTAATGACCGTCCATATCCAGCATAGCCACTGCCACTGTGTCCAACATGGCCAATGTGGCCGTCATCATGACCACCCGAGTGCGAATGACTTGAAGTATAAATTGGTTTTGTTACAATCTCATATGTGTGTGATTTCCCACCACCGCCAGCTAAACTCTTCAAACCAATTACGGCGGATAATGTCAGGGCCATGAGACCGGCCATTAATGCCTTGCCAGCCATCAAAGCAATGCCACCCATACCCATGGCCATGAGGGTGCCTGTAAGTAGTGAAATTTACATTTAATTTAAGTTTTCTAATTATCACTGTTATTATTATTTCGTGTTGGGTTCGCGCTCATACCTTTCATCATTAGACCGGCCGCCAAGAGCATTTCCATGCCTCCTTTTTTACCAAACTTATCCTTTCGTCCTGTTTCCACCAAAGATCTGGCCTGCATTACGGTTTTGTCGTCAATCAGTTTAAAGCGTAGATAATGTGTTTGTAGGAAGTTGTTGATTTTGTTGACAATAAAACCATTTATTCGAGCATTGGGATCATTTGGGTAACTACGTGCCACATCTGAAAAAGGAGAATCAATATATATAATTGTGAGATATTTTTTTTTTTGTGTTAAAAATGGTTTTATTTCATCGTTTAAAATTAGTTTATCTAATGAGGATTATATTTCACGGCAATATAAATTACAGTTTATAGAACTTGAACTCCAATAAACGCTGGTGAAAATAATCGCCTCCTCATTAGGAAATCAAGAAGAACAATAGCATCTTTTGTGTCATACCAAGTATGGTTTTTATCGGTTCAATATTATGAAATTAATGCAGTGTTATGAAAACATTCTATTGTTTAATAATTGATTTAAACATGATTAATTATTCTATATTAAAATTAAGCACCAAAAGAACACAAGAGTCATGTAGGGCCGACTTTGCACAATTATGTATATTTTGCAGAGAATTTGTATGAAGTAAGCCATGTTAACTAAGATTGTAAATGAGTGCGAATCGACTTTTATTAAATTTGGCGAAAGCATTATCATGCTGTAGTTGACCTCTCGCACAAAATAGCATTGCTAAAGTGTGCGTATTATGACTTTAAGAAAGCTTAAATATAAAATAGGATAAACATGTAGCTCCAGCTATATCTCTATCGATATGGTCCATCATGGCAGATTTTATTCTTTCGAAGCTTGATTGTATGTTTCAAAATGCAATTTTATTAGACGAAGTTAGCACGGTTTGAGTATCATATATATCACATTGGGGTGAAATATATGTGAGCTATATCTGAATTTGAACCGATCTCGGCTAAGTTTAGTACTATTTATTTAGCGCATATTACAGCTTTTAGGGACTTAAATATATAAAGCGTATAAAACAAATATCTGGTAGCTACAGCTGAAACGCACTAAAAATGTTATTGGTCGAATGATATTGATTGGGGGCTATATCGAAATCCAAATTGATTAGAACCCATTTCAAAGTCCATGATCCAAACAATCAAACAGCGTATCAAATTCGACCCGCAACTCGATTATACAAAAACAAGTAAGGAAAAGTCAAAAGTCGGGTGGGTCCGACTATATGATACCCTACACCACTAAGCAGAGCTCCAGTAACAAAATAATTTATTTCAAGTAGATCATACCACCTATCAACATTTGGATTTAGACCAGTTATAGTTTGCTATAGAGTGCATGATATCAAGGATTGTAAAGAAGGATTTTGTAGAAGGATTATATTAAAAAAAATATATATCGGAGCCGAGTTTCGTACGTCCCGAAATTCACTCCATTAGGGCTGATATTAGCCATTATTTGTACAATAATCCTGAAATCGGATTAAGGATATTGAAGCTATTTCCAAATCTTAGCCGTTCTCGATAAAATTTGGCAAATGTATTTCCGAGCTTAATAAGATATCTGTTACCAAATATCCTTGTCGAATGGATATTACGAATGTGAGGGACTTAAACACCAAATCGGATGAAACATTTATATGGGAGATATAGTTATATCTGAACTGATTTACACCAAATTTGAAGTACTGGTTAGTAGTATGAATTGATTTTGGGCTGATATTAACCATTTGGTGCACAATAAACCTCATGCCGGATAAAGATTAATATGGGAGCTATATCCTTATCTGAAGCGATCTCGATAAAAGTTGAGAAAGGTATTTTCGAGCAGAATTTGATGTTCGGTTCAAAATATCATTCTTCTGGAGTGCACACTACCCATGTGAGGGACTTAAAACCCCAAATTGGATGAAACATATACACAGGGTGAGCTGAAAAAATTGCAATCGACTTCAGACTGCTGTCATTTCCTAGCCACTCGTCCTACAGCTGTTAAAATTATTCCATTTCAACATTTTTGTGAGAATTTTCCAGAACAAAAGTTATTCGTGATGGAATTCAAGCGTGATAGTGTGATTTCTTTATATTTGGATGGAAAACCACAAGTGGCTATCGTTAGAGCACACCAGCATTTAAATGTGAATAAATCTTCTGTGTCTCGTACCATCGCTCGTTACCGTGATACTGGTAGCGTAGCCCTACGTCAAAGAAGTGGACGGAAGAAAACAGCAACATCAGCAGAAATGGTTTGCTCTAAGTTTGCTAACGAGTTGCTCGGCAGAAAGTGGTGAACTGCCGAATTAGGTTTTCTCCGATGAGAAAACATTCGCTGTCCAGCAGTTTGTAAACAAACAAAATGATCGTGTTTACTTGCCATAGAGGTCAGGTGAAAATGTGCACCTTCAGCTGGCCACCAGAACTCAAGCACCGGCCATGGTGACGGTGTGGGCAGATGGTCGGTCTGCGCTCGTATTTATCGACCGTGGCATCAGAATATATGCCGAATATATAAACATTTTGGCCCCAGACTTTGGACATTCCAAAAGGATTCAGCACTATTGCACTCAGCACGCGCCACCCAAGAATGGTTACAAAATGAGTTTCCTCGCTTCGTATCCAGCGCGCAATGGCCACTAAAATCTTCGGATACCAATCCGTTGGACTATTGTGTCTTTTTTGTTTTGGAAAGCAAGCAACAATACCAAAGTCTCGATCACCTGAGGCAAGCGCTTCGCCAGGAATGGGCCAAAATACTGCAGAGCAACATTCGGGCTGTGTGTAACGGTTTCATTGGCCGTTTAAAGGCCATAATTCGTTCCCGAGTTTACCACTTCGAAAAAATCTTAACTTATTCTAAAATTTGATGGTATTTCTTACATTTTTTGTTTTTATTCAAAAAAATTAAAAAGAAGTAAAAATGATGGCTTTTGACTTTTTTGCAGTTTTTTATCTCACCCTGTAAGTATTACCCATCTTCCTAACACTAGCTTCATCTTGATTTAATACCATGCGACAGTATTTTGGATTCTTTTAGTTTTACATTTAAAAATGATAAACGTTTCTATCGGGCATAACTCAACTGAGACCACGATTTAAAAATTCAGATTTATAGATTTTTTTTGTTCCCACAAGGTCGAGTTTCAAAAATACAATCGTTCATACAACTAAACAGTACTTTTTGGCACTTTTATTATTATTTTATTCTTAGTTGTGCCCTTTCAAGTCGAATTTCCAAAAAATCTGCCATTTCTCATCATAAACTCTATTTGTAATCAAGAATTTGAACTTTCAAAGTTCTAGCTTTAGCCGTCCATAAGATACCATGGTGCAGAATTTCGTAGTTTTTGGTTCACTTCTATTTAGAATTTTAAATGGCTTAAATCTCCGAAAATTCACATGTATTTCCCCCCTACACAAAAAGTATCCCGTATTTCAAATTTCTGATGCGAGTTTGTTAAATTCCTTGTTGTAACGTTAAGCACACTTTTAGTACTCGTATCGTATTTATTTATTTTGAATTTTCAAGAACCCAGGCTAATATCAATACACCAAGTGTGGCCAATATGCCAAATTTCAAGATTCCAGCTCTGTCAATTACCAAAGCCACAATATAGTTCCCACACATTTGCAATTTCCGAATTCTAGCTTACTCCTTTCGCTTAATATCTTGCCAGATCATTATTTATATTTTCCAAAATTAAGTATAATCTAAGGCCAACACACTTGTCACTAATTTATTTTACATACGACGATTTATGATTTAGTTTCCAATACAATGGCACTCAATGCCATTTTTCTTATAAATTTAACACACACACACACACTTAAAATCACTTGCAACAACACTATATCCCACTTACCAGCCATCAATTCTGAAGTCTTGATTTCCTTGGCCTCAGGATCTTTCACCAGACTAATGCCATTCAATAGACGTAGCTCCTCACGTTCGGTTAAATACTCCAGAATTTTAACAAATTCAATTTTCAAACATATCCAACTGAACGAAGTATTACACTCCTCCAACGTTTGCTTAACACTCGGTCTATTCTCGTTCGAGGATCTTTCGGTGGTGGTTTCAACATCTATACTGGCACTTTCAGAAAATTTCAACAGCAATATGAAAATGCCCAAATAAAATAAATATTCCAAGGTTTTCCATGATGACTGCATTGTGATGTGTAGTTTATCCAATTGTATGACTCCGGCTGGCTATGTTTTGGCCAAGATGTTATGATTGAAACTAATGTCTGGCATTTGTTGACATTTTCCATTTATACTACAAATCTGACCACTACCATTCCGACACCGTAAGTCACCCATTGAAAAGAAATTTACTTTAATGAGATGTTGTGGTCAAAATAGATATTTCATTGTTTTAGTTGTTCAGTTTTTTTTTCTCTGCGATTCTTCATCACTTGTGTAAATGAAGAATCTCTCCATTTTTTTTAACCATGCAAAGAGTTTTTGTTGCGACATTTCCCTCGGTGTTTAGAAAAACTTCAATACCAGATTCAGTCAAGTGTGGCCAAAACGTCACCACAATCTTTCGTATTCCCAATGAAGGTAACGAAAGTAAAACTGATTTTTCATTTACCAACCACCCCAAAAACTCACTTTCCCCGAAAAAAAGCGGAAAAATCTCTTCACATAGAGGGCACAATGTCCGTCGGTAGTCCATAGATTGCCGTGTGCATGTGACTCGTGTTGTTTGGCTATGTAAAATTTTAATAATTTCGTATGAGAGCAACAACATTTCCATTCCATTTTCACGAAAGTTCCTCTCATGCAAAACTAATTAATGTTGAACCTTGGCATTTTGTAGACATTTTGTTTGGCTATGGGACACTGGCATAATGTCGCCTGTAATTTGGACTCAAGAATAATTCGATTGTCATGAAAGTGAAAATACAATAGGTTGCAAAATAGTTTTGTCCAGACAAAATATTATGAAATTTACGTTATATAATTCTGCGAAATTAAAGAAACATTTGGTAATACCAGGTAGAATATGATAGAGTGTTATAAAGTAAATAATGCGTAGAATTAAGTTGTTTCCTCCGCCGTTTATGGAAGGGAATATAAAACTGGTTCTTTAAACCCTCCACCTTGGAAAGGAGGGTATATTAACTTTGTCATTCCGTTTGTAACATCCCTATATATTCATCGTAGACCCCGTCTGTTGAAAGCACGACACAGCCCACATTATTTGACGTAGACCTTCAAAATGTGGCAGAACAATTTGTATTGTGTCTAGGATGGTTGGTGTTGAAAATATATCGGTCCACGTTTTGGTATAGCCGCCATATAATGGTAACTCCTGATATTCGGTATTTTGATGTTTTTCGTCACATTTTCCACGGATTTGTTTCAAATTGGTACCTGTAGGTCATAATGGGTTCTTGCTCGTGTGGCGAAACATTGAAAGTATATATCCACGTTTTGGCACAGACACCATACAACGGTACCTCGCGATATTCGCTATTTTCATGATTTTTGTCACATTTTTCACGGATTTGCCTAAATAATTATATTTGTAGAGTAGAATGGGTTCTAGCTCTTGTGCTAAACATTGAGGGTGAAGGTCCACGTTTTGGTATAGACACCATATAACGGTACCTACCGATATTCGGTATTTTGATGATTTTTGCCATATTTTTCCACGGATTTGTCTCAAATTGGTATTTGTAGGTTATTATGGGAAAATTTTAAATAAAGTTCCACGTTTTGGTATAGCCCCCCCCTATAACGGTACCTCCCGATATTCGGTATTTTGATGATTTTTGCCACTTTTTTCAAGGATTTGTCTAAAAATTGGTCTCTGTTGGTCATGATGGATACATGCTCCGGCTGCGAAACATTGTAGGTATGGGTTCACGTTTTGGTATAGACCCCATATAACGGTACCTCCCGATATTCGGTATTTTGATGATTTTTGTCATTTTTTTCCAAGGATTTGTCTAAAAATTTGCGAAACATTGTATGTATAGGTCCACGTTTTGGTATAGACCCCATATAACGGTACCTCCCAATATTCGATATTTTGATAAAAATTTGTATTTGCAGTTCATAATGGGTTCTAGCCCGGTAGCAAATTGAATATTTAGTTCCACGCTTTCCTAAAGCGCACATATAACAATACCCACTGATATTCGATATTTTTATAATCCTAGTCACATTTACCTACATAATTGTTTCAAATTTGTCATTTTAGAACATTTGATAGATGACAATCCTTGAAGTATTAAATAGAGGTTCCCGTTTTGGTATGGCTCCATATAACGGCCTCACTATCTTTATGGTTTTTGATAAATTTAACGGTCTAATATGAAGTTTAAAGTGAAACACGCTTGAATTCAGATACTTTTATATAAAAAAGTGTCCTTTAACCTAAGGTGGGGTGTATTGGAAGTTCGGCCCGCCCGAACCTAGTGTTTTTTAATTGTTTTAATACTTTAATGCCTAAATAGAATTGTCACTTAGTTCTACACACCTCGAACCCTCTGTAATGTTCTTATATTCTAGATAAGCGTAAAATCTAAAACAAATTGGCAACATTTCCTTCTTGAACTAAATTATTGGTTGGTAATATGAAAGCTAGAACTTTGAACATTAGCACAAACAAGGATTTTTAAGTGTTAATTTCTATTTAGAGCCGAGCTTAATGAAATTTGCTCGAAGCCAGATAGACACTATCACACACTCACCACTATGCTACGCGTTTCGCCGTTTGTTAAGGCATATATGGTGTGAATGATGGCTTGCAAGGGCCGATCTCTGGAAAGTAGTATTTATTTCGAACTTATTGCGATTTAGCAAATGCGAATTAATCCCCAGAAACCCTCTAAGTTCGACTTAAGTTCTATTAGCAAATCTTTTTCACGACAAAGTTTGTTTTTGTAGTGATGGATTTTTTGTCCACAACAACTATATTGCTTGCAATGCATAAACCTGTTATAGTGCTGTTGTAGGAAGACGGGTTAATGGCTCCGGTAATGTCGCTAAAATCATCAAAATACCAATATCGGAAGGTACCGTTATATGAGAGTTATACGAAGACGTGGACCTGCACAGACAATTTTTTGTCATAGGCAGTAGTATGCATTACAAACTTCAAATACCAAACTTGAAATTTTTCCGGTAAATAATGTCGCTTAAATCTCAAAAATGCGGAAAATAGGGAGGTACCATTATATGGGGGCTATACTAAAACGTGGACCTATATGACCTATTTCCATTACCAAAAGTCCTGCAGACATAATATACATTTGAGTAACATTTTATGAACCTTCTTCCTTTCGTTCGGAAGCTAGAGTGATTTCCACAGACGGTCAGACGGATAGACGGACGGACATCCCCAAATCGATATAGAATTTTATGCTAATCAAGAATATATATCACATAAAGATATATATGGGAGCTATATCCAAATAGGAACCGGTCTTTACAAAAATTTTAAACACTTATTTCTGAGATGCATCTGATATCAGGTACCAAAGATTATTGTTATGGAAAGCATATTGGGCATGTGAGGAACTTTAATACCAAAACAGATGAAACATATACATGGGAGCTATATCCTAATTTGATCCGATTTCGATAAAATTTGACAGAGGTATTTTTGGGCTCCATAGGTTGTCTGGTACCAAGTATCATTCTAAAATACACATGAATAGTGGTCCTGATACAAAATTTCAGATTTCAGGAATCATCTGTTCATCTAATACCAAATTGTACCAATGTAGTACTTTTCGTTCACTTTTAGTACAACAAATGGTTCCATTTTATAAATTTATTGATAGTTTAGAACTTTTGTAAACTTAAGGTTCGAATTTCCTAAAACCCTTTGGTAACTGCACTCCGTCAGTGGCTGTCATTCCAATTTCGCACCAAGACTAACATTCATGCAAAATTTCTAGATTCTAGCTTCAGGCGTTTCGTCTGCGTCAGGTGTGAATTAAGAAACGGATAGCACTTGCATTTTAAAATTTTGAATTAGGGGTCACACAGTAAAGTTTCCAAGGTAAGTCAAAGTATTTAGAAAAAATTAAAACATTATGTGTACGAAAAGCTACTAATTGCCCAGGTAATTTTCTTTTAACGGATGGAGTTAGAGCCTTGAAATTTTATATGGGAACTATATGTACCCTGTGGCTTCGCTACCCCTTTTGATTTTATATGCATTGAAAATTTTATATACGAATATTTTATGGTATACAAAATAAGACAAATACAAAAATTTAAAAAACTTAATTATTGTAATTCTTTAATGCGTAAACAAACAAATACCTCGGTCTACCAATGCGTGAACATTCCAGGAACAGCTGACCATGTGAACAGTAGAATATGCCAAACTTAGTCCGCATACACGAAGGGTTTGTCCTTCGGATTTATTGATTTCATAGCAAATGCCAAGTGTGCAGCAAACTGCAATCTTTTGAAGTTGGTTGGCATTTCTGTTGCAATTATTGAGTTCGAGGTAGCAACATACTTCCCCGTAATAATCGTATTCTCAAATTAATTTTTGTGTAGTGTTTTATTGTTAGCTTAGTACCATTGCAAAGGCGTTGGGGGCCAATGCTTCTTATAATAAAATCACACCCCAATCTGAACCGATTTCAATATAATTTGACAAAATTTACTTTTACACCAAATTCCGCCACACTTTCCATATTTCATTGAAATTGGATTGGTGTTTGGTGCATCAAATATGTAAAATCGGCCGAGAATATATATGAGAGCTATATCCAAATCTTAACCAATTTCTAATTAATTTGACATATTTATTATTGGATCCAAATTCCGCCACACATTCTGAATTTCATTGGAATCCGACATACATATCGTGTTTGGTGCATACCATGCATGAAATAGTCCGAAATATATATAAAGGAGCTATACCCATACATCAACCGATTTCAACATAATTTGGCAAATTTTTTTTGGTACAAAATTTCGTCTCTCTTTCATTTTCATTGTAATCGAACATACATATCGCGTTGGGTGCATGAAATATGTAAAATTGGCCGAAAATAATAATTTGACAAATTTATTTTTGTACCAAATTTAGTCACTCATTCCAAATTTCGTTGGAATCGGACATGCGTATCGTGTTTGGTACATTAAATTAACGAAATCGGTCGAAAATATATATAGGAGCTATATCCAAATCTGAAACGATTTTAATATAATTTGAAAAAATTTTTTCTTATCAAATCCTGTCACATTTTTCAAATTTCATTGGAATCGAACAAACATATCGTGTTTGGTGTATCAAATAAACGAAATCGGTCGAAAATATATGTGGGAGCTATATCCAAATCTGCACCGATTTTAATATAATTTGACGAATGTATTTTCTGATCAAATCCCGTCACTCATTCCAAATTTCATTAAAATAGAACAGACATAGAGTGTTTTGTTGCATCAAATTCATGAAATCGGCCGAAAATATATATGGAACCTATATCCGAATCTGAACTGATTTTAATATAATTTGGCAAATTTATATTTGTTCCAATTCCGTTATGAATTCCAAATTATGGAGACATTTTGGAAAATTTTACCTCCAATTCTGATGCGATGTATCCAGTTTCAAGTCGAATTTCAAAAATGTATACAGGCTATGTTACTTTCAGGCGATGTTGTTGGATACTTGAATTTTAAGGATAATCTGTTCAGCGATTTTCGAGTCCATTACGAACAAACATACAAAATTTTCCTCTTTGCAAATACAGATGAAAGGTGGAAGGAGGTAGCTTTAAAAATACTGCTTTAGTGTACCCATCGTACTATATTTGGCATATTTTGTGGGAATACAATTGGTACACTTACCCTATATGATGGTTATACCAAAAAGTGATGGTTTCTTCTCAAATTATCAATATTTGCCGAAATTAGTACGAATATGGTAAAAATTCAAAATATTCCTGAAATACGGGGGTTATGAAACATATCATGACCTGCAAAAGCGATTTAAGGTATCTTGAATGTTTAGGAAGAATTTCTGGAAGGATATACATCTTTTTCTTACTGTCATGAGCTGTTATCTGGATAGTATAGACACAAACCATTTGCTCAAAATGCATTTTGTCTAGTCTTTACCATTTTAGGTCTTTGGTTTTGACACTGATAGAGCTAACAAAGTCGCCATATCAAAAAGCTGAAAAAGCCAACTGGCCATTCCTTTCGTCGGGATGAACTTATGATATTGGCAAAGACATAGAAGTATAAAGATGGGACAAGACAGAGTCAAAATATGGCAACCCTGTGAAAAATACCTCTGTTGTTATGATATCGTAACAACATAGTTACCAATATTAAGCAATATAAACCGCTAAGGCAGTATGCAATTATTTTAGAAGGTATATGGAATAGAATTTTGAAACCAATATTTTGGATTGTCCAAACTTTTATTTGTCATTCTTTCCTATAGTTGTGTTTTTTATATTAACATGCCTCTGCCATGAGCTGTTATTCAAGATAGTATAGCCACAAACCATTTGCTCAGAATGCATTTTGTCTAGTCTTTACCATTTTAGGTCTTTGACATTGGTAGCCATCAGCAAATAATTCAAGGTGTATTATTAGTGTACCATTTATATAATGGCTTAATTTTTGCCACTAGAAACTACTCACATATATTTTACGAACCATAGGCAAGAGCTCATTTAATGTGCTTAAAGTTCCATATTATATGTTAATTGCGTATTCCCATTTAATTATATATTTTTTCAACCAATTTAAACACAATGTTTAAAAAATGCTTTTTTAAATGAACTTTTATTCAGTTTGCTTGGTTTGTTCCATGATTGTAATTAAATACATATTTCTTTTGGTAATGATTTTTTGTTTGTTTTTTTTTTTTAACTTTTATAAATACTTATAATTAATGAAAAATAAATTATGTGATTTTTTTGTTGTGTTTTTTGTTCTCTGGCAAAAAAATTATCAGACTTTTAAGATCCTTCCTTGTTACAAAGTTGGGGTATACAAAAAAAGTTTAACACGAAATTCAAGTGTGGTCCTTAAGCACATTCTAGCGATGAAATACAACCTGAGTGTTGTTATGTATGTATGTATGAGAATACTCACAAACAAAAATATACAAATTATGTACATATATATTTTCTTTTATCAGTTAACATTATAAATAACGATTTAACATTTCATTAAAATTCAAATGCACCAATTTCGCACACAATTTTTCAGAGTTGGAAAAACGTAAATATTTCGTTTCGTTGGCAGAAGAAAGGACGCTGTACTAGCCTTTCAAAATTTCATACCATAAAAACAGAGACACCACCAAAAAAATGATGGGGAAGAAATTTATGATATAATGGACATGAAATAAATTACTTTCATAATGAAGAGATGAATGAATTATGAAGCTTTTTTCATTAATTGGAGCAGGAGTAGTCCAAAGTTTTCAAGAGCCATGGGTCGTTTGGGAAGTAGTAGATTGTGGTAGGGTAGGGGAAAATTTTTTCTTTTTTTTTTTTGGTTTATAGCAAGAAACTAACTAAAAAATAGATTTTAACTAAATTCTAAAACTAAATGTGTAAATTTAGTCTTGTTTGTTTTTCAGCATAGAGAGCTTAGAGTCAGAGAAGGAGAGAGAGAGAGGGGATGGAGAGAGATAGATAGAAGAGATAGTATAGTAAAGGCAGGAGGCATAGAAGAATCAGAAAGTTTTAGAAGGATAGCTTAGAAAGGTTGAGCCAAACCGTAGTGGTTGTAGGCCAATTCAGAAGCAGCAGCTTGACCATTGCGGTTCCAGTCAGAGTGCACAATTTCAGCGTTCAAAGGACTGCCGGTGATGTAGGCGGTGGTGATGTGTTCCTTCTTTTTGCTCAACAAGTCCTTGAAGAAAGTGGCACCTAAAAATGTAAAAAAAAATACATAAGTGATGTTCTCTGCAGAATATAGCGGTTTATAGGTTCTAAAACTTACCAGCGAAGAAGAGAGCCAAGAAAGAGATAGCCAAACTCTTGAGGGAAATGAACTTGATGATCATGAAGAGAACCTTAACGATAACGGCCTTCTTCAATTTCAAAGCCAAGAGCAAGGGGACCAACATCTTCTTCATTTTCTTGCTGCGGGGTTCTGTAAATGCAAATAATTTATAAAACAAATGAAATTAGTTTCCGTTTTCTTTTTTATTTAAGCCTTAAAGTATGCTATGATATTAAGAGGAATTGGAATAGTTTAAGTTGTCGTATTAACAGCTATGTCCAAACTTACATTGTTAACACCATAATGTTAACATAAAACTTTAATTGTCCCAAGGTTGCCAATTCTTCTTAAATTCTGATAACTGGATTTAGAGGGAATAACTCTTTATTTTTTAGGTAAGAATATGAGGAATTATATTAATTTCCGATTTCGATTTTAAAGCAATTTTAAAGCAAAAATGATAGAAAGTTATAAACAATGTTGGCCAGGATCTATAATTTCCATTCAGGCCGAATTTTAGAAAAAATTGAATTTATTTTTTTCATTTTTGGAAAGTTTGGTTTTGGAAAATTTTGGTTTGGGAATTTTTGCGTTTGTAATTATACATTTTTCAAGAACTCTTCTATAAATTAGATAAAGTTTAACAATGAACTCTATTGAAGTATTAATATTGAATATCTGAAAACTTTTCTATTTGCCTTTGATAAGACCAGTGAAATATAATAGTGAACCAGACAGCTCTAGAATTCAAAACATCTATTTTAATAAGGATTTAATTTACCCTTTAGTGGCTTTTTTTAAAATTTCATTGAACAATCTTCGAAAGACCTAGTTCTGCTGATCGTTTAAGTGAAAATTTCAATTCAATTAGTTTCTTGGTGGACTTGAGTCTATTGAAGTACATATCTAGTGAATGCAGTGAACAGTTCAAGAAGAGTGCTCTGACAGATTGATGACTAATTAAATATAGACGAATATCAAGTGTATTCTTCTGAAATATTGAACCGAACAGCTTTTTTTAATATAAATGTGTTAATTTGATATTAATTTTTCAAATAAAACAGTCATTTCTAACTAGATATCTAACTCGTTTTTTTGAATTAGTAGGAGGATAAAATTTAAAATACCGAATATAGGGAGGTATTGAGGCTATACGAAGACGTGGACATGCACAGAGTTGCCCATATTCGACGGACCCATCTGGCAACGCCATAACTTTTGACAGAGATGTCACATCGCTTAATGACATACCGCGTTTGAAGCGTCAGTCCAAGCAGATTTGTACCATGAACCAATACACGCAACTCGAGCGCTCTGAAATTTACATTCAACAGAAGAAGTCAATTGTGAAAACTCAACGTGCTTTTAAAACATTAAAAAATGTGAGAAGTGCGCCTTTTAAGAACACCATTAAGCGTTTATACGAAAAATTTTCGACTGGTAAGGCTTTTTCTAATCCGAAGAGGCCATATAAAAGTCGACCAAGGCGATCGGCCGAGAATATCGCTGCCGTACGAGCCAGTGTTGAGAGGTCCCCAAGAACATCCCAAAAACGCCGTTCTCAGCAGTTGGGCATGGCTCGGTCCACTTTACAACGGATTATTCGCATTGATTTGCATTCGTAGTTCCCGTACAAAATTCAATTGACGCAAAGAATGTTGCCTGCGGACAAGCCTCGTCGATTGGAATGGGCCCGAAGGGCCCAAAGGTCCGTCGAATATGGGCAACCCTGTAGTTAATTACATTCTGCGATTTAACAGTCTGTTAACAACATCTTCTAAGAGCCAGGAATTTATAGAATTTGAAACTTAAGCTCTTTCTTTCTCTATAATTTTGGTCTTCGAAAGTCTACTTAAATAATGCAAATATAAACTTTTGCAATAGACAAAACTACAATACATTTGTATTCTTCATAATTACCAGCAGCAGCCGTTGTTAAGCTCCTACTTAATTCCTAACAAATTTTTAGGTTGTTGATAAAGACTTTATGATAAATTTATATGTACACAAAGAAAGCAAACTAAACGAAGGAAGGTAGGAAGCGAGTAATACTATTATTGTTTAACAGGGAAAATATCTGCCATTAATCTTTCTTTAATTACACTTAATACATGTTTACGCACATCAATTGTACGTGTAATATAAAACTACATGTGTGTGAGTGCGTCTATTTACATATGACCAATTAAAGCCTATTTGAACAAGATTTAGGAAATAATTCAATGTTACATGAATTTCACTTTCTAATTTTAAACATTCATTCAAATGTCATGAGCAGTTGGGCAAAAACATTTTAATCTGTAATCAAGCATGTGTTTGCTGCAAAGGAGATTACATTTCAGGCGAATTGAAACTAGAGAGGAATGTAACTTTTAAGAAAATTGTTATTTATATAAGATATAATAAGCTGACAGGTATTATAATAATTGAAGGGTGCCACATATGGCTCTTGGTAAAAGAGTATAAGGATACATTTTTCTTATTCTTAAGACCTAGGCCAAAAACCCTGAAATAAATAACCTTAATTAAGGCGTGAAATATTAAAAGAAAAATGTTATTTAAAACTTTTATTTCATATTTTCGATTTTTTATTTCATATTTCCGATTTATAGGATCAAATCTGAGCTTCCCAATTTTTTTTTTAAATTTTTTCCATTGTTTTTTATTTCGAAACCCTTAAGAATTTCCTTTAAGTGGTGTGTTGAAAGTAACTCAATAAAGTTCCTTTGTTCCTCATTTGGCAACCATGGTTATTTTATAGATCATTATTTTTCGATTTAGACCCAAAATACTAAATATAAAGGGGAAACATTTCACGGAGGGTGGGTTGTTTTTATATGAAAAAAAATGATGCTCCTTGTTCGCTAGATTTTAAAAAGAAAATTATTTTTTGGAGATAATTTATTAATTCCATTTCATTATTAGTATTCATAGGAATTTTGAAAATTTCTAGCGCTCTTTGTAAAAACAAAATTAACAAATTTTTAAACATTTAAACCTTTATGATTGCGGAAGTAATTGAACAATGTTGGAAAAAACGAACGTGCCTGGGGTTTTTAAAAATTGAAATATTCCACCATCCCTCAATTCCCTCCTCCCGCTGCCCTTCCTCACTTTATTAGGCATCTAGAGAAAGTCAAATCAAGCCATACTTTCAACATAATGTCACACAAAATTTGTACGTGCAATGTAGCACAACGAAAACAAAGCTTTGACACTAACTATACTACAGCTAGTCAGACAGACAGACAGACAGACAGGCATACAGTCAGCCAGGCAGTCATTCAATTTTGAAGGTATAGTGGTTGGTAGACAGGCATCGAGTACACTGAGTAACAAGTGACTGACGGTCTGTCTGTCTGACTGACTAACTAAATGCGTGCCGATAACACAAACACACAAAAATAAAATACAAACAAAATGCTTCAAATATTTACGTGAGTTGATTTTTGAAGAATGATTTCTCAGTTACGGCAACAGGGGAAAGAAGAAGAAGACAGACCCTCCTCATTTAGTCATAATATTGAAAGTGAAGTGAAATTTCTTAATGAAAACAAAATTTTCTGGAATGGTAAATAGATAGATGAAATGATTCCATTGAAGCAAATGTATTTCATCATCTCTTTTCAAGGGGGAGAAGAAGCTTTGTTTATTGAACTGTAAAGTGAACAGAATCAGCAAAAATTTCCTATTGCATGGCAAATTTTTTGTGAGACATTTTAGTTTTGAGCAAAGAGGATTTAGTGCTTAGTTAGAATTCCTAATTGCAGGAGCAACTAAGGACAGGTGTAACGTTTCGGGAAATTCTCGGAAAAGAAGGAAGTGTGGGGAAAAGTTGTGGAATAATTTAGATATTTGCTTTAGAGAGGCTTATGAAATGTGTGCCTTGGAGGAAATAATAAATTTTGTATAGCATGGATTGGTTGAAACGGAATGTGTTTAGAGCAAATTTTTAAAATGAGGATCATTAGATCTTTACAATGAGGTAGACTTTAAATAGTATTTTATTTTTGATCGAGAAAAAAGAGTGAAATAACAAGTAAAAAACATTAATTTAGGCCTGGCCAAATTTTTAATACCCTCCACCATTGGGTAAAAAAAAAACATTTTTATATAAAAGTATCTGAATTCAAGCATGTTCCACTTCCATATACCATTAGGACCGTTTGGATAAACTTATCAGTTAAACTTATCAAAAACCATAAAGTGAGAGGGCTGTGTATTCAAAAACGCGGGCCTATACCTAAAATGTTCGCCACCGGAGGTAGAGCCCAATTTTTAGACAAATCCGTGAAAAAAGTGTGGCAAAAATCATCAAAATACCGAATATCGGTGGGTACCGTTATATGGGGGCTATTCGAAAACGTGGGCCTATATATAAAATATTCCGCCATAGGAGCTAGAACCCATTATGACCAACAATTCCAATTTTTAGAGAAATCTGTGGAAAAAATATGGGAAAAACCGTTAAAATACCGAATATCGGTTTCTACCGTTATATGGGGGATATACGAAAACGTGAACTGGTATATCTCATTTTCAATACCAACCATCCCAGACACAATACAAATTTTTGTACCAAATTTTGAAGCTCTACGTCAAATCATGTGGGCTATATCGTCATTTCAACAGACAGACGGACATCGTTAGATCGAAATTCAAGGTGGAGGTTATAGAAACGGCATTTAATTAAGAATTTATATTACCTCCGATTTGAGAAAAACGTAGGGGTTGTATAGCTCAATTTTCCTAAAGAGTGGTATACAACAAAAAATACATTTTTGAAAGATAGGACTGATATTTGGTGACCTCTGTATAACTTATGGTGCAAAAATGTAGGAAGTCTAATACATGTCTTTTTGTCGAAACATATATATATATATATATATATATATATATATATATATATATATATATATATATATATATATATATATATTTTTTTTTTTTTTGAAATATAACACTCTTGAGTAAATAAGGGGGCAAGTGTTCCGAAAAACAAAATAAAGAAAAGAAATCAGAAAATTCCCTTGAGACCCGTTCTTGAAAATTTGGATTAAAGCGGGTAGCGCTTGAGACGTGCTAATCTTTATATTTTTTTGTTTCGACTTTTGCAAAAAAAGGCCAATCAATCAATCAATTCTTTCTAGATCCACATTTTATTTTTTAGATTCGGGCATTTTTAGACCATTTTCCTATTTTTAATCTTCACTGTTGTCCTTTAAATCAGTCCATAATAGTTAAGGGCAATGCTGAATTTTGAAGTCTTTTTTTTTTTTTGTATACATCAAGTTTTTAATTCAATTTCAAATAGGGAGATTTTCAAAGTTTTAGGAAAACTTGGAAAATCTATTGAAAAACGGGATCAAATATTTTGAAATAAGGAAGTACTTCCATAGGGAGGAATATCAAAGCGTTAAAGAGAGATCACGAAATAATACGTTGCCAATAGAAGGATCCACAAATGTTACTGAAATCATCAAAATGTCTGATTGAATCATAATCATTGAATCAAATATTGAACGAACGGAGCAAAAGATTACCCTTCCAAAATGGTAATAAGTGAAATGTATAACCATTGAGGCTGGGTGGAAATCTAGGGACTACAAATGGGACTAATTGCGTCCTGTGTAAGGAATTCTTTTTTCGTTGGTCTTGAGTAATAAGTTGAATTGTCAACTCCGACTTGGGAAGTTAAGCCCATTGTGAAACTTTTTTGATTGGGCGCCATATCAACAAGACGAATAATTTCTTGACTAAAATTCATAAAAATACTTTTGTTAAGGATCTATTACAAGATAGACTCAAGGAACTCAACTTCCATTGGACATTGATAGGCATTGTTTTTTTTTTTTTTAAATAAAGAAAGCAAAATTAATTTTTTAACACATTTTTGGTTAAAAACTATGATTCGAGAAAAGTGACATCCATCTTCCAAATATTTTTGATTTTGAATGGAAATTATATTATTTTTTAATAATGACAGGATATTCATCCATGGAAGACATTTAGAGGAAACTTTTCTCTTTGTGACCCTTTTCATTTATTATTGGAAGCATTTCTAATGTTTGCCGACAGATTTTCATTAATCCTTTCCTTGGGTATCCATTGTCAGATGATATTTCATTGAAAATTTTGTTTTTTACTGGATCAACAAAGTATTCACCTTAAAACTTAAATAAGTTTTGTTTTATCAAAGTTTTTCACAAATTCTAAAAATTTTGATTGTTTCATTGCTTTCACATTGTTTCCTTGTAGCAATAAACCGTTTTTTGATTCTTTTTCGTTGCTTTCCTTGTATTTCATTTGATTGCTCTTTGCATTCTTTTTTTTTTTTTTTTTTGTTCAAGTGTTCTTAATTTTATTCTGCACTACACACTCGCAATTTTTTTATTACGACTTTTTTTTATTTATTTGTTTTGCGTTTCGACTCGACTCACCTTCCATGGCACGACCATTTGATTCTTCTTCTTCATCGACATCGGGGAAGGAGAAGTTCAATTGGTGAGATTTCAAATAACGTTCAGCGCGTTCTTCGAAAGTTTCAACAGCTTTGCCAGCAGCAGGACCAAAGGCGCGACCACTTTCGGAGCGTACAATGCTCAGGCCACCGAACAATGGTACACTGGGTTCGCTGTCGATTTTGTTGATCATGTTCACTAAATCCTTTTCGTTGGCATCCTGTTTGGGCAGGGCCACAGCACCGCACACAAAAGTGGCCACGAAGACAACACAAATAACTTTCGAATACATGGTGTTTTGATTTTTGTTTTTGTTGTTTAAATTAGAATATTTTTATCGTTGAAAAATATTTTTAATATTTTCTTCGTTATTAATCTCTGTGTTTTTTATTTTCTGTTTTTTTTTTCTGTTAATGTCAAGGCACTACACTCCACACAACAGTTGGCTTTGAATGAAGAAATGAATTTGTGATTGATTAAGTGTCCACCATGGGTATTTATAATGCGATGACACTCCGAAATCAAAATCGAAAAAAAAACAGCTAAATACTTTTGCAATACGCTTAGCCACTTTTTCCAATAACCAAATATGTAGAAGCCAATGCGGCAGACATGTGGACAGAGTGTTAAACTATTTACAAGAAAGCCAATTGGAAATCCCTTCAAGCAACCCATTCCACCCCCTGCCCATGCAATAAAGAAAGCCTTCAATGTCGCCTAGCCGCCACACCGATCCCCTAGCCACCTCCCTCCCCCTTTCTCCCTCTCTCTCTCATAATCGATTTGGGCCATTTGCATAAGTTTGTGTAAATATGCTTATGTGTGTATGCACATATAATTCAATGGCCAAAATATTAACTTTTAAGAATGTAGGGTTAGCGGTTTTATGCGTATACAATTTTATTCACACTAAATCCGCACCAACAACAACAACACTTACTAGCAATTTCTTTTGCTTTGTTGTTGTTGTTGCTTTTATAAAAATTTCAATATGCATTATCTAAAATTTATTCAAATATCATAGTATCGCCGCCGTCCACTGGCTTTGACAACTTCTACCATTAGCATTAGAGTACAACAATGACAACAACAATGCTACCACTGTGCCCCTACTAACCATATTGGCTTTAAAAGTTGCCATAATATGTCCAAAAAAACACTACACTTGTTACCGTAATGCTGAGGCACGTTCCATCAAACGAAAGGGAAGTCTCGGCTGTTTTTAACAATTTTTGTAGGTGTGTGTGTATGATTGTGTGGACCTCTACTGCTCGGCACTCTGATACGGAAATTCGTTTTAATATTTTCTTTCCCTAACTGTGTAGTTTTTATACCGCCTAACATAAGAAGGAGGGTATATTAATGTTATCAAATAGTTTGTAACAATGTCGAAGTTAATAAAATGTAGCATCTATGAAAGTATCTTCATATGGAGATCTTCTAGAGAATTTAGCATCAAACTTAAAACAAATAAGGACAGGCTATATTCGGGCGTGCCGACCATTTGATACCCTACAACACTACAATTTGCGATAATATTTCTGCAGAGCTAAAACCCTTTTGATTAGAAGGAAGATTCCCCTAAGAAACATCCCCATATCGACGATATATTTCGTATTCATATCAGAAATCAGGTTAAGAAATATTTTAGAAATATAATTAATAAAAAATGTGACCCTTTGTGGTGGAGTTACCAGTAGGAGTGAACCTATATATCACATCTTCACACCAGATAATGTGTTAATAAAAATATTGTGATGTGTGAAATTTTAAGACAATCGGAATTTTATTTCATATTTTATAGGAGCTATAATTATTCCAAATTTTGACCCTTTTTGGGGTAGGTAACAGCAGGAGTAGACATATGTTGTCCATCTCCGAGGTCGATCTTAGTTTGATAACAATATTACGATGTACCAAGTTTGGACCAAATCGGATAGTTATCGTGCGCACCTGGCAGACAGATACGAACGGAAGGACACCCCTAGATCAACTCCAAATGTCCCGAAACGGATTTGGTCAAAAGAGACCTAGAGTCCAAAACCGTTCAAATTATATGGACCCCCTGTATCAATATGACTGAGAGTATTAAAATATTTAAATTTTTATTGGCATCTTTTTATGCGAATTTTCTACATTTCATTTCATTTTTATTTTATTTTTTTTTGCCAAAAGGCCAAAAACAGTCCAGCCTTTCTTAGGTTCTAAGTGGTCTAACTAACATCCTCTTCTTTAATATAGGAGATCACATATACTTTTCTAACTATGCGAAATCTTGGGACCTTTACAGTGATTACAATTTAACTCAGCTCGGCGAGGTGAAGTGGTCCTATACAGGGTGAGATAAAAAAAACTGCAACAAACTCAAACGCCATAGTTTTTACATTTTTTAACTTTTATTGAATGAAAGACAAAAATGTCGGAAATAGCATCAAATTTTACAATAAGTTTAGACTTGTTCGAATTGCTCACCTTTGGCACGAATTGTGGTCTTCAAACGGCAAATGAAACCGTCACACGCTGCCCGAATGTTGCTCTGGGGTATTTTGGCGAAGCGCTTGCTTGAGGTGATCGACACTTTGGTATTTTTTAGTGCCAAAAATTTCCAAAATACTCAAGACACAATAGTCCAACGGATGCTGCTGAATCCTGTTGGAATGTCCAAGTTCTGCGGCCAAAATGTTTGCGTGCCCAAGGCTTTAATATTCACTCCAGAATATTTTCGCGATAATATATGGTGTTTATTCTGATGCCACGGTCGATTAATACGAGCGGAGAGCGACAATCGGCTGTTATGGCGGCCCACACCATCATCATGGCCGGCGCTTGAGTTCTGGTGGCCAACCGAAGGTGCACATTTTCAGCTGACCTCTTTGCTAAGTAAACACGATCATTTTGTTTGTTTACAAACTGCTGCACAACGAATGTTTTCTCATCAGAGAAAACCAAATGCGGCAGGTCATCACTTTTGGCCAAGCGAAGCAAATCTTTAGCTCTTTTGAGTCTATTTTTTTTCTGTTGCGGTGTAAGTTCTTGCACTTTTTGGAATTTCAATGGCTTTACCCCGATCTCATTTTTCAATATTTGCCGAATGGAGTATTGCGATATGTTCAACTCACGAGCCGTTTTTCGGCATCTGCGACGCGGGTTTCAATCAAGTCGCTTTTTAATTTTTCGAACCATTTCTGCAGATGTTGCTGCTTTTTCCGTCCACTTCCTTAGCGTCGGACTACGCTACCAGTATTACGGTAACGAGCGATGGTACGTGACACAAAAGATTTATTCACATTTAAATGCTGGAGTACTCTAATGATAGCCACTTTTTCTATAACCACGTTATATATCACGCTTGAATTTCATCACGAATAGCATTTTTTCTGGAAAATTCCCACCAAAATGCCCTTGTACGCTTGTAAATAATATTATGAGCTTTCGCTGGAATAATTTTAACAGCTGTCGGACGAATGGCTTAGAAATGACTGCAGTCTGAAGTAGGTTGCAGTTTTTTCATCTCACCTTGTATATCATCGGAATGGTATCAAATTTCGTATTTAACGTTTCTTATGGGTACTACCATCTGTGACAGAAAATTACCTATGTAGGACCACGTCTTCCTGTAGCCGCCATATAATGGTATCTCCCTATGATCGGTTTTTTGAGGATTTAAGCTACATTATTCACTGAAATTGTTTCAAATTTCATATTCTAAATTTCCTAATGGGTACTATTGTATGTGACAGAAATTCCTTATGCATGTGCACGTCTTCCTATAGACCCATTTAATAATAACTCCCTGTATTCGCTATTTTTATTGCCTAAAGTGAGAATACATTTAACGCTTTTTGAGACTGGCCTAATTCATCGGCTAGCTTCATTGGAAAAGAACAAAGGAGGTTATGATAACAATCGAACTAAGTGAACCTAAAACTCCTTTGCGCCTCTAAAAAGAAGCCAGCCGATGACTTAAGCCAGTCAAAAAAGGGTTTTATGTATTCTCACCTTTGTACTACTTAAGTAATAAAAATATCAACGATTATTTTTATTTTATATTATTTTTTTGAAAATTTGTCAATTTCCCCCAACTGGTGGATGATATTAAAAGTTCCGCCCGGCCAAATTTAAGGTGGGAATACATAAACGGCTTTTTTGACGGGTTTAAGTCATCGGCTGGCTTCTTCCTAGAATCACGAAGGGTTTTAGGTTGACTTAGTTCGATTTTTGTCCTAACCTTTTTTGTTCTTTTCCAATGAAGCTAGCCGATGTTTTTAAGCCAATTGTGGAGGGTATTGAAAGTTCGGGCCGGTCGAACTTAATGTTATTTTTACTGGTTTATGAATGTCTTTGTTTTTAACCTATAAATTATTTGCTCTAACTAATTCAGCTTCTATTCCCTATTGTAGGGTTGCAATTAGTCGTCACGATGGACAAGATTTAAAAATTTCTTTCATAGTTAGCTGCAATACAAGAAAGTAGCATAACATTTCGAAACTATTCGTTTCTGTATGTCCTATATAATATTTTTTTTTGTTGGTTAGCTATCGATACAGTTCGAACTCCTAATTATTATGCGGGACATAGCACGGGTATTCTGCTGCCAGTGGTGGTAGTAGTTGCCACACTCACACACATACACACACACCACCAGTAGTAGCGGCTTCTCAATTTCAGACAATTGAATTTTCAATTTTAGTCAATTGTGCCATAGTATTCAGGTTCACTGCCTTCGGAGTTGGTGTTTTCAATACCTTCATTTAAAATACATTCTTTGGGAACGACGAGACGACTAACGCCTTCTCCACTAATAAGTTTTAAAAGAATTCACCTGGTCTTAATACTTAATATTTTACTTGGCATAGAATTGCGTATGCCTATTTTAAGTGTACAACTCGACTCGAATCACTCTGTGTTGTTGCTGAACGGTTTTTTTTTCGTATTCAATTACCTTTTAAAGAGTTTTTATTATTCCCACTGGCCCATATTTTAATTTTGGGTTAAAATCAATGCCAAAAATACGTTGTTGTTCGCGTTACGTTGCGTTGCGGACGCTTTCGTTTTCATTTTTCAATTAAAGCTTGGCGGAAACGCATTGCAGAAGGTTGTCATAAATTTTGATTAGAGAAAAAAAGTTGTGTCTTCATTAAAATGAAGTATTCAAAAATATCCTGTAGGGGAGTAGGAAAACAGTAGAATTTTTTTTGTTGGTGGTTATTTCCCTATTATACCATTCCTAAACTACGGCAGCAATTATATTAGAAGCTTTGAAATGTTTTTGAAAGTCAGTGGCGACATTTTGGTACAATGGTGGACTGTGGGAGGTGTGCAACTATTCACCACATATATTTAATTTGGCAACCTGGTCATTGATCACTTTATGGCAGTGTGAGATGCTTAGTATGGTTCCAATTCATCTAATAATAAATAT